TGATTTTGTTTTATTGTTGCTATTTCCTATGTGACATACTTCTTAAATTCCTGCATATGCTTCTTGTTGATAAGAAACTTTATAACAGTTTTAAAAAATGCTTTATCCTCCATTTTTCGATGTATTTATTCGTTAACTCTGAGGTTGGTAAAGGTTTTTGCTCCTTTGCAGGAGAGTCTTTGGTACTATTCATTGTGTCTCTGTCCCTTCTTTTTGCTCTTGGTCATTGTACTTCTGGTTAAAAGATTGTTCTCCTTAGGGCAGGTTTCTAAGCTGTGTCATCCACAGGTCAATTTTACTGATTGAGTTTGGCATTCTTTGTTTGCAGTCACTTGTGCCACTCCCTCCAACAAATTTCAGATCTGGCCTGTTGTATTAGACTTCCACTCCCATCTTCGTAGCCCCAGCTCCTGGTTCACCACTCTCTACTTCCTGTGATACAGTGGTGTGGCTGCACCGTTGTCTGAATAACCTTTCTCCCACTTCTGGTTTTAGCAATTCCCAGGATTAGTGTGTTGCTGATCTTGCTGGCCATTCGGTCTGAGAGCCACTCAGACATCCTTTGACCTGTAGGATGCCAAACTCAGTATTGTCTTTTTTATGGGACCAGTGCAATGCCCTGAGCTGGAAATGAGTTCACTCCCAGCTCAGCACAGGCGCAGCTCACTGTTGTCCCTCTAGTCGCACAGCCTTTGCAACACTGTACAAAATGGCATTGATGTGCCACTGGTGGAGCTCTGTTGACTTTTAGATTTGTGGGTTACCTGAAACTGTATTGGGTGGAACTTGCCATGTTTGTGCAATGCACTGAGCCAAACATGAATTTCTCCCAGCTTAGTGCATGAACAGTCCTTACCCGTGAATGCCAGCTTGGTCCCTAGGCTTCTCTGATTACACATGTCTGGTTTTCGTCTTACTTCATAGGCCATGCACCTTCAGAGTCATTTTCTTGTTCTTCATGCCTAGAGCCTGTCCTTGGCTGTCTCCTCTATCTTCCTGTATTTCTGGCTTTTAGCTTTGATTCACTCTGACCTATTCCTAGCTGGTCCCAGGGTGATCTTGGTCTAGTCCTACTGCTTTACTTAGGCTCCCAGGAGCTGCTGCCTGTAAAGTCCAGATTCCAGACTCCTTGTCCAGTCAAGGCCTAAGGGTGAGCACCCTGCCTTTTTCTACTCTCCCCTCCTTCTCGTACAGACTCCAACGCTGTTTTTTCTTGTGGGTGTTCCACACGGCAGATCGAGGCCTTGCTCAGGCCGTGACCTGAGTGTGCGATTTTCTTTTTCCTTTACTGTTTATCTGACCAGTCAGTTTTTGCTCATTTTAAAAGATGACTTAGCACTAGTATTGTGGCATAGTGAGTAAAACCTGCAACACGAGCATCCCAGTAAGGTGCCGGTTGTGTCCCAGCTGTTTCACTTTGGATCCAGCACCTTGCTAATGGCCTGGGAAAAGCAGCCTAAGCTGAGCCAAGTGTTTGGGCCCCTGTCACTCATGTGGAAGACCTAGAAGCAGCTCCTGGCTTTGACCTGGCGCAGCACTGGCTCTTGTAGCCATCTGGAGAAGCAGTAGATAGAAACTCTCTCTCTTTTCAGTCATCCTCTCTCTGACTTTCAAACAAATAAATAAACCTTAAAAAAATAATGTAAATCATTCATTTGCTTTTCTGGAAAGTGTTCATTAACACGTTCAGGCAAAAGTTAGAAATTTCTGCTCTGTGTTTTCCTAGTAGTTTTATTGTCTCCATTTATAATGCTTTATTTATCCTACTAATATTTATTGATTACTTATTATCTGCTAGAAAATATTCCAGACATTGGCAGTAGAATAGTAAAAATGACAAATAAAATCCTTATTTTTAAGAAACCTGTTTTCCAGAGGAGAGGAAAGAGAATAAAGCAAGTGAACAATATTGTTTTAGATAGTCATAAGTATTGCTGAAGTAAGATAAGACTGGACAATGTGACAATAAGATGGAGAGAGAATGCATGCTTGGAGGGGTTGGGCAGGGAGGACAGGACGGGAAGCTGGACATGGGATGAGCTGTTACTTGAGTAGAGACCTAAAAGATAAGGAAGAGCTAGTCCTGCAGAGATAAGGAAGAGGTGCATTCTGGGTAGAAAGGAGCAGTAAGTCCAAAGGCCCTTGAGCTAGAGTGAGCTTGGTATATTGAAGCAACAGATAGGCGGGGCTAGAATGAGAAGAGGAAGGGAGTCCCATGATGTAAAGTCTGAAAATACAGGACCAGGTCATGCATGGCCTCATAGGTGAGATTTGTCAGTTTTAAATGTGAGAAGCATAGAAAGATTTTAATTGGGAGTGATGTAATCTGATTTATGTCTAGAATTATTATCAGTCTGGTTTATAATAAGGAGAATGATAGGGGACAAGATTGAAAGCAGAGATCCGTTAGGACTTGCTGCCTACTGCAAGTGAAAACTTGTAGCTTGAATTACTGGTGCTATATTTAGTGTCCATGGAGAGAAACGGAATGACTTGGAAACATTTTGACGTTCGGCTGATGAGACTTGGTGATAGATTGAGTGCTTTGATTTAGGGGAGAGAATCCAGAAAAGGATCCCGTGGCTTTTTTGGAGTAGCCAGGTGGATGGTGGTGCCATTCCCTGACTTGTTGCTGACGAGTAGTGGTGGTGTTGATGAGAAAGTCTTGTAGCAAAGGAATCAAAGCTACGCTAAGTTATGTATCCTCCTTTAGACTTCAGAGGGCAGATGGCAAGAAAGCAATTGGCCATGTGACTCTGAAGGTTGAAGATGGAATTAAATCATGTTAACGTGTTTCAAGCTGTGGGACAGAGTGAAATAATTGACAGTTGGAGCCTAGATGGATCAAAAAGAGGGCAGCAGGTAGGGCCTTGGGCATGGCAGAGTTTAGTATCTGGATGAACATGAGGGGTGCAGAGGTAAGAGATCCATGGAAAGTAAGAGACAGACTATTTGAGGAAGGCGGGAAGGTCATCTGTGTAAGGCTGGTTGATGTTCACGTAAAATCAAGGCACTGATTAAATCTGATCTGATGCTGTGAAGGACACTGAGCACGGCGATGTGACTGGTAGGACTGAGCTGTATCCACTGCTTGTGACTCCGCGTCCTGTTCCTGGGGCTTCCCATGTAGAAGAGGATGAGTACACGTTTGCCTGCAGAATTGGCTTTCACAGTGTTCCTTCACTTCTGCAGGGAGATGCTGCCGAGGATACCTGCGTCCCATTTCAGGGGACCTGGTTCAAGTGCCAGCAGCTCTGCCTGCTTCAACGTCCTACCCATGCGTACTCTGGGATGGTACTTAGACTAAGTGCTTAGCTCACTGCCACACATATGGGACACCTGGGCTCCTGGATGCAGCCTGACCCAGCTCTGGCTGAAGTAGACGTTTGAGGACTGAACCAGTGGATGGAGGATCCTTTTCTCCCATCTCTCTGTCTTTTAAATAAAGTAAATAAGTAATAAATATATATGTAATAAGTAAGTATATAAAGAGGAAAAGTGGTTTTGCCCTCATTTAGAATGCACTTGAACATTGATCCTTGCCATGGGCTTGTGTGTTCAAGGAATGTCATCATGTGATAGAAACAAAACATATAAAGGGCAACATGTGATTACATAGTAACAAAACACATGAAGGGCAAATCCACTTTCATAGAGTTTTTGCAGGGCATCCTGAAGCCTCTGTGGTGTGGTGGAAAGGGCCATGATTCGGGTTCGGAAGGCTTCCTCAAGCTGTGGCTCTTCTGCTCATTTCTTCTGAAGGAGTCAGGGGCAAGTCCCCCACATACATCATCAACAAATCAACAAAAGCAAGGACTTGCTTTTTTTAAGTTATTTTATTTAAATATCTTATTGTTAATTAACTTTGAAAGATTTATTTATTTATTTTTAATGGAAAGGAGGAGAGAGAAAAATCTTCCATCTGCTGACTCATTCCGTAAGTGGCTGCAGTGATTGGAGCTGAGCCAATCTGAAGCCAGGAGTTTCTTTCTGGTCTCCCACTTGGATGCAGGGTCTTTGGCCCTCATCTACTTTTTTCCCAGGTCTCAAACAGGGAGCTGGATGGGAAGTGGAGCAGCTGGAATATGAACTGGCGACCATATGGGATCCCAGCGGATGCAAGGCGAGGATTTACTCACTAGGCTATTGTGCTAGGCCCAAGTTGTTTAGTTGGTTTTTTTTTTTGTTGTTGTTCAAAGCTTTTATTTAACAGATAGAGAGGTAGGGAGGAAGAAAGGGAGAGAAGGGGACAGGAAAAGCGAGAGAGTGTTCTTCTGTTGGTTCATTGTCTGTATGACCACAATGGCTGGCCTGGGACTGAAGCCAGGAACCAGGAACCATGTGGGAAGGCAGGAAGTGATTTGATGAGCCATGACCTTGCCTCCCAGTGTGCGTAAGAGCAGGAGGCTGTGTTTGGGAGCTGGAGCTGGGAACCAAAGGTAGGCATTCTGATGTGGGACACAGTAGTTGTGACTGCAAGGCTGATGCCCATTCACCTTACAGAACTTAAGTGAGTAGCGGGTTAGTAGTGCATACGACAGTCTGCGCAACCACAAAGGTACTCTGAATGCTGTTTTTATAAGAAAAATAACAGGACTGTCCATTCCATGGCAGACTTAGAAAGCAGAGTAGACCAGTGTTGGGAAGTTTGTATTTGAGCAGTAGCAAACGAGTGGTAGCACATTGGGGGAGCACAGAGTACAATTGGAAAAGTGATGTGTTTCCAGAAACCTGTAGCAAATGAGTTTCTCTTGGCTTTGTTCTCTTGTGTTTCTTGTGTATATCTAATCATTCTTTTAGAGCCAAAGATTAAACTTGCGCCTCAAGAGCTAGTAATCGCCTCCAGCTAGCGGTCTGTTTACCCAAGTGGTGGGTACACATGAAAGATTAAAATGTTATTAGTATTGTTTTTGTGTATGTGTTTTTAAATGTGGAAATATTGATTAGCCTGATTTGACAGATTTTTCTTCTTTGATTATTCACTTTCTTCTTACTTACAGGGTAAAAATCACGGTAAGAAACTCCGAAATTACTATGCTGCAAACAGCTGTCCTCCCCCTGCCCGGATGAGCAGTGTGGTGGAGCCTGCAGCCGCTCCAGTCGCTCCAGGCCCTCCGCAGGTGAGCCGTGTGGCACAGATAGTCATGGACGGGTCTTGCTAGTCATGCATTCATTGGCAACAACTGATGATAGTTCCTTCTTGGTATCGTTAGTTCCTTGAACTACAGTGCTGGATCTAATACATGCCAAATCTGTACACTTCAGGACTTTTTAAATTTTAAAAGATTCAGTGTCGTTTGTAGATACAATTCTTTATTATAATTATTATTAAAGATTTATTTATTTTTGTTGGAAAGATTACAGAGAGAAAGAGAGACAGAAAAAGTTTTCATCCACTAGTTCACTTCCCAAGTGGCTGCAATGGCCAGAGCTAAGCTAATCTGAAACTGAGAGCTATGTGCAGGGTCCCAGGGCTTAGGGCCGTCCTCCACTGCTTTCCCAGGCCACACGCAGGGAGCTAAAAGGGATGTGAAGCAGCTGGGGCGTGAACCGGGGCCCACATGTGTGCAAGCCGAGGACTTTAGCCACTACACTACCACTCCAGACCCCGTAGATACAATTACATTCCCTCCCTCCCTATAATTTCCCAATGATAGGATTTGTTACTGGCTTGTGTTACAATGCATCGAGTAATGAGCCAGATATTATAATGTAAGTCCTTACAGGTTTTTCAAAACTTACGTTAGGTGACCTGAATGTCTAGGCCATGTTCTGAACAAAAGGAGAGATTTAAAAAGGTTATTTCTTGTTTAATCTCATATACATTATATTTGGTCTTCCAGTTGCAAAATTAGCTTCTTGTGACTATGGTTTGCTTACTCTAAGGCTGAGAGCTTATTGTACACTTTCTGGACTTTGGTAAGACAGCACAGTTTAGGCAAAACATTCCTCCATTTCAATTGCCTCTGCAATACTGATTTTGTTCCTTCAGCTGTCTCTGAAGCTCTGTTCATCTGCAGTACGACACAATGGCCATAATGTAACTGCATCTAAGTACTTGCTATGCCAACCTGCTAAGCACTTCTCATCCGTTGCTTCATTTCCAGGAAAAAAAGAGGATGAAGTGAGAGCTGCGCTTGACTCGGTCACAGACTTTAAGGGACACTCAAAAACTCTGTAATCATGACAAACATTTAATGCATTACCTAAAAAATTCAAAGTCAGCATAAACTATCAATAATGAGCCAAAGAGGAAAAAAAATTGATGTTGGTTTCCTTCCTTCTCAGGCTGTGATGTGGCTTCTGATGGCACTGTAATCATTTAAAATTTTGCTATTTGTTCGTGAATTTTTTTTTTTTTGCTTTATACTTAATTTTTAAAAAATATTCAGTCAAAATATTCTTTATTTTGGTCAGTTGGGGTTTTGGATTCTTTTATTTTATGCCCAAAGGCAGTATCTCATTTGTTTCGTTGTAGTCCTGGGCTCATTTAAAACTTGCAACAGCTTAGAACTGTGAGCCTCATTCAGATGTGATTTGTCGGGGCTGGTGTTGTGGTACCCCTTGGAATGTGTGTCCCACACTGGGGGCTGATTTGAGTCCTGGTACTCTGCTTCCTGTGTAGCTTCCTGCTAACGCGTTCTGGGAAGCAGCAGATGACGACCCATGTGGCTGGGCCGCCTGCCCTTCACGTGGGAGATCTGAACTAAAGGTGAGCCCTGGCTCTTGTGCGCATTTGGGAAGTGAACTAACAGGTAGATTTCTCTCTTTGGCTCTGCCTTTCAAGCAGATGAACATAAATGAATATTAAATGTGACCTGTGGGCCGGCAGCATCAACCTCACTGAAAGTTTATTAGAGGTACAAGTTAGCTAAACAGCACTCTGCCGGGCTGGGCCCAATCCTGCTGGAGCAGCACAGCCCTTGCTGATCCTTGCAGCGGGTTCTCTTGTTCTCAGGACAGTCTTGCCTACCAGCTGAGTCAGTGCCATTTTCTGAAACATCAGCAGTCCAGAATCTTTTATATATATATATATATATATGTATAACCCATGCATACACATACACAGAGGCAGCAAGAGAGAGACAGAGACCACCCATCCATGAGCTCTTCGCCATGATGTCACAGGTGTCCGTGATGACAAGAGCTGGGCCAAAGCCAAGGCTGGGATCTGGGGACTCCGTCTACACCTCCCATGTGGGTTGGGAAGGAACCCGATTCTTTGAGCTGTCACCAGAGTTTCCCAGGATTTGTGTTAATAGGAAGTGGAGTTCAGGGTAGATATTGAACCTCAACTCTCATCTTAGCTGCTAGGCCAAGCACTTGCCCCCATCCTGGGATTTTGCACTCAAACATTTTTTTTTTTCTCATTTCAGATAGCAGTAAGCAATTTAGGTGGTTATAATGCAGAATAATGATCTAGGGTCATACAGTATTTTTTGAAAAATTTTTCTGGAATCACTTATTATTTCCTTTTGTTCTTGGTTCTTGTTCAACTCCTACAAGGACGATTGAGGTCCTTTCTTTGACTTTGTCTCTTGTGTTGTTACTGACAGGTGGGCTCCTTTAAGCCAGGAGGCCGTGTGATCCTGGCCACCGAGAATGACTACTGTAAGCTTTGTGATGCCTCCTTCAGCTCCCCGGCTGTGGCGCAGGCCCACTATCAGGGCAAGAATCACGCCAAGAGGCTGCGACTCGCAGAAGCGCAGAGTAACTCATTCTCGTAGGTATTGCCATTTTCTCTGAGGCCAAAGTGTTATGTGAAACTGTGTTGTAAGAAAGAGGGTTGAAAAGGATGTCTGTTTAGAGGTCTCATTTTTTTTGCATCTTTTTTCCTCCAGGGAATCCCCGGAGGTGGGTCAACGGCGGAACCGGAAGGAAGGGAATGACTTTAAGATGATGCCTAATAGGAGAAATATGTACACAGTACAGAACAGTTCAGGTATCCTGTGTATTTCCACACACCTTGCTTACCTTCTACACTTGGTGTGCCTTTTAAAGCAGTTGTCTGTAATGGTACTAGGTAGACCTGAGAATTGAGAGCCAGGCGTTGTTTTATTTTGAGTTGGTCTAGTGGCTTTCAGGCTAATCTCTGCTCACGTCTTATTTGTTTCCTACTTAGTATATTATTTACCTTGGTTTTATATTATACTCTGTATTTTAGATTGTTTATGTTTATTCTGATATTTGCCAGCACAGAAATGTAAATGTTATAAAAATGGGGTATTTGGCTTCAAGTTGCACTGTGTGCAATTCCCATTTCTTGGGGGAAAAACAAAAAAAGTTCATTGCAGTGCTTTTTAAACCAGGGTACTGAATCAGCATTACCTGGGGCAGATTTTACAAAAATTCATGTTGCTTAAACCATGACTTTCAACCAGTAGATTTGGACTGGAACCTCAACTTAAATGTCTTTGAAAGTATTTCCTTGGTGATCCTGCTGTTAGGTCCTGTGTAGGCAGGCGTGTTTCCTCCTTAACCTGTAGTAAATCCAGCAGAAATGAAGGAAACTGAGAAAGCTCTGCAACTATGTGTTGCTTGGTGAGAGGGATGGCTTCTCAGACATGTGTGGCTAGCTGACCTTGTCACTGTGCTACACCGTGGAGAGGGCTGTGCACGCTAAAATGGCCTTGGTGCCACCAGGCTGTCAAACCTTGTGGGACCATGTAGTTTGTCGCTGTTAAAACATCATCGTAACTGTATTAGTATCAGATACAATAAATATTAGGATAATATTAGGATATTAGGTAGTAAAATTCTATTCTCTGATCAAAGTATGATTAAAGGAGATGTCAACAATAGCAACATAAAAACAAAGAACACTTTTATTTGGGACTTTTCGAAACACTTCTATATAGCTTACGAATCAGAGAAAATATCACACTGGGAATTAAAAATTTCTGGAACGAAATGGTAATGAAAATAGAGCAGACCTTGTAGGATGCAGTGAAAGCAGTATCTTGAGGAAAGCATGTTGTATTTATTCTTAGGAAAGAAAATTAGAAAGTTAAATGAACTAATGGTTCAGCTTAAGAAATCAATAATATGAAGAAAAGAAAATGAAATTATTAATAGTTATCAACATTTTTTTCCATTTGTCATCCCAATCTGGTCATAAATATGACTACTATAAAATTGAAATGAAATCATATTTTATGCTATGCTTGGTTTACTAATGATGTAAAGAGCCATACATTTATGTGGTAACAGCTTTGCTGCGGCATGGTTAGTGCCTGCGTAGTTCAGCTGCATTCATTGGTTTGTTTTCCAAATACCAGCTGTGGATCTCTTTTTTCCCCTAGTTTTTGCTTCTTTAAGCAGTGCTAAAATGTATTTCCTTACTAGTAAATCTCTCTGTTTTTTTCCTTGAGTATATTTTTCTAAAGTAGAATTCACAGATTGAAAGTGACATGATTATAAGACTTTTGATACAATGCTTAGCAACTAAAGTATTTTACAAATTGTTCTTACCTTTAAAGGAGATTGTCATTTAGAGAGTGGGTTTTAACTCTGCTGTGTGGCTCTGCAGTGATGTTTTGGCAACAATTGGAAAACTCATTTTATCTTTTTAGATTGTGCCTATATAAAAAAACTCACTAACCTCACATTTATTTAAAGTTAGCAGCATGTGAATTTCATGATATGAACTCTGAATTGCAGATTACAGTGATAACCGACTGGCCCATCATTCCTCTGGTGCGTTTTGATGATCTCACTTTGTCTCGCTCTAGCAGGTCCTTACTTCAATCCCCGTTCTCGGCAAAGGATTCCCCGCGATCTCGCCATGTGTGTTACTCCAAGTGGCCAGTTTTACTGCTCAATGTGCAATGTTGGGGCTGGCGAGGAGATGGAATTCCGGCAGCATTTGGAGAGCAAGCAGCATAAAAGCAAGGTGTCGGAACAGCGGTACCGGAGTGAGATGGAGAATCTGGGATATGTATAGTGATGGTCATACTCCAATAGAGCAGCTTGTCCTGCCTCTTGTTTGCCTTCTGTCGACCTGCCCTGCTTTGTGGTCTGTTGATATGAGTACATTCCTCTGCTTAATGTTAGCTCCTGTAACCTGTAGTGGTACCATGAGATGTCAAAACTAGGGGCGGGGTAGGAGGAAAGAATGGGCTGCGTGGGTCATAGTGCTTTCTCAGGTCAATTACGTTTGAGCTGCTTAGCATGTGACTTACCTGCCCTATCAGAAATAACCTTTCATCTTGGCCCAAGTTCTGGTTGACTAGTAATCTGACCACTTAGAGCTGTGACTACTGAAAAATGTCATCTTTCGCAGTTCTAGCTTTAGGTTCTGTTACATCAAAAATTATGTGAGTTCTTCCGATTACAGTAAGAACAGGTAAGCAGAGATTTAAGCTTGCCCAGGTGTCATTGGAATATCACCTTAATGCATTGGCCATGGAATCATTTATTACAAACAATGTGAGGGTCTTTCCCAGGTCATAATTTTTCTTGTATGAACCCCACGTGCATCACTGAACTGAAGATGTTCTTGAATTCAGACACCGTCACTGTGTTTGTGTACTTCCAGACAGCTGAGGTGCATCTCCAGCTGTGGCTTTCCCACATGCAATTGGCACCACCTTCTCTCCTTTTTCTTCCCTCCTCATTGCGTCAGCCTATCTAATAAACTCAAATTCACTCCCCAGCTGTGCTGTGGGATTTCCAAAGCATGCATTTGAATATTTAGAAAGTTTTAAATTGATATTATTTTTAAGAATTTTTTTCAGCTGATCTGTAGGAAATGGAAAGATATATTAGATTTTTCCTTTTAGAGTTATGAGTTCATTGATAATCACCTGTACTTACATGAAAATCTTAATGGTAAGCTCATTTCTTGACGTTTTCTTTTGAAAGACATTTTAGATAATCCGATCCTAACATTATAGACATTCCTCTGTGTCATGCCAGTTAGTTGGCTGTCCTGAAAATTGCTACCACTTACCCACTTCTCAGAGAGGAATTTTTTTTTTAAGAAAATTTAATGAAGTATCATCATTTCTAGTAGAAAAATACATGAACTTTAGAATTTCCTCTTTATATGGCTTCCTTGATGATACTGAAAGCATATTATAGATGACTTTGGCCTTTGTTCATTATAAAGGTGTTATTTATCCTTGTTTTCAAAATGAGAAGCCATAATGTGTATCTGGATTATAATGGAATATGCTGTAAACTTCCATTAATCGCATTGAATCTCTTGCTCCATTGTACATTACATGGGTAAGACTGGTGCTCATTCATGCTTCATTTAAAAAGGCCACAATCACCAGGAAGTTTATATCGCGTGTTATCTTTTTCACATGATTGTCAATTCACATTTGATTGCTTATATTACTAATGAAAAGTGAAATTTCTGTTTTTCCTTGGGAATTTCATAGGCAAATAGATGGAGAGTATAAAAATTATAGTTATCATTTATTTTCTGTAATATTTTGGAATAGTCTTTGAACACTTTAGCTCTGTAATTAAAATCAGATTTTATGATTAACATTAGTATCAAGTTATTTTATGGGAATGGTTGTTTATTAAAAAAAGTAGAATTACTTAGTATTTTTTTTTCTTTCAGAAGTAAGAATGAAATAGTATGGTATGTGGTTGAGTTTCTAGTTATCCATGTGATTCTTGGTATAATAATCCGTTTTGGAGTAATGAAGTACACTTAATTTAGAATAATGTAGGGCTTATCTTCTTGGCCAGTAGGTGATTGATTTTGCTGCTAAGCATAATTTTTTTGGTAGATTTTCCTATCATAGTGCTGGACACTTTGTTCTGTGATTACTTAAAAATTAATTTTTCTCTCTTTGTGTTTACATACACGCAGCCATATCCATCCCAACCCCTTAGATGTGTGTTCTTATGTCATACCATAAAGAGAATTTAATGACTCCTTTTTTCTGATAACAATGAAGAATTATGGATATGAATTTTTATTTTATAAAGATGGCATTTATTCACTTTCAGTTTTTCCTTTGGAAACAAAATTCAAGGAAATGCCTTTCCCTTCTCCCCACTTAACAATTCCATGACAAGTGGTGAACTTGGGGCCTGATGCTTTTGCAGGGCTTGTATATTCAGGTTTCCAGTTTCCCAGTTCCCTTAATAGATGTTATGAATACATAAGCGCATTTTCTTTTAAAGAAAGAAGTTAGATTTATAGTGTTATTTCTTACTTGCTCTATTTCTTTGCACTAAATAAGAGAACTATGTGTTTGTTTTATATGAAACTTTAATGCCATATTGCCTACAAGAACTCAATTTGTTCCTTACTTTCCAAACTCTAGGATGTTGATAAATACTTCCATGAGCATTGACAGAAGTTACATACACACCTAAAAGATTCCCACACCTCTAGTTTTGGGTTTGTTACCTTGCAGGATTCTTGTGTGTTCTGTAGGTGAAACAGAGGGCAACAAGGTGTTGGCTCTGCCTGGCACACGTTCTCGTATTTATGCGTCCCATGTAGACGGTGTCATTCTCTGCTGAGGCAGGTGGTGTGGCTCCTCCATCGGTGACATCCGATCTCCATCAGTTTCATTTTGTGAAGTCCAGTCCTGCTGTGTGCTGTGCTTCAGGCCTTGCCCCCCATGCTCCCTGGGAATCCTGTTACTGCCTCTTTGTAAACTGTATACAGGATATCTGTCTGAGGCCCCACTGTGAACAACTTTGTGTGAGACACAGTAGATTGCAGTAATCATGCAGAACTCACAGCCTCGAAGTCTCTTCTCTGTGCTTATTCGTGTATGTTGTCATGAAATGTCAGTGGTAGAAAATAACAATTAGAAACTCTTCTAAGATATTGTGGACAAGTTGTAAAGGAGAACATTCATGTTCCGATTAAAAGCTTGGATTACATTTGCCTCCAAAGTGTTTTCTTTTTCTTTGGAAAAAAAAAAGAAGAGGGGTTCTATGTGTCCAGTAATCCTTTTGACTCCACTCTGAACAGAAACGCTTTGTTAGTCTTGGCTTCTTTGTCCGTCGTGCCTTGTAACTTGTAAGTATGTGCATGTTGTGTGTTGCATTTGTCTGCTGTCTCTTATTGCATTGAATTCTGCAAGGTGAATACCTTTTCTGTACTATTCATTTGAAAAAAATTTCCCCCTACCCAAATCTTCCTAAACTTTGCAGACCAGTTAAGATTTTTGAAACCCTGTTGTTGAATGGAGAGTTATGGCTGAGGTCTTCCTGATGTCTCTCCGACTTAAAAGACTGGACAGGAAGGACAGGATCCGCCACATTTTGCAGATCTCTTCTAAGAATTATATGCTTTTGCTTATAGCTGTCTATATTTGAACAAAGTTTAAAGGAACTGCACACACGCACACACACACAGAGGCATATATACAAAGATGCTGCAGAGAGTTGGTGGAGGAATGGAACGAAAAATAAGTTTATTTTGGTTCTAATAATTTTGAAATCTATGTGTATGTGGGGTTTTCGAAAAGTTCATGGAAAATGTCCAGTATGGAAGAATTACGCATGGGTTTCTAAATACTATGTCCCAGAATAAACTTACTTGTAATTTCATTTTACGCAAACTTTCTGAAGTCTCCACGTATGTGTACATTTGGTTAAGTCTTCCTGTGTAGTGTAAAGAGCTTTTAAGGATTAGCTGTGGAATTTATTATTCTTTCACCCCAAAGTTGGCCGGGACGGTGAAAAAGAGTTTGGAGAATTGTCTTGTGATCTGTGTCAATGGAGTCTTGTTTATGTCAAAGATGACGCTGAGCTGTGTGATCTGATGTTTCCTACAGAAACCGTGGATTAGGAAATCTCACCTGTTTTGTTTCCCCCATGTCAGAGTTCAGACTGGAAGTGCTCTGGAGAGCTTAGTGGGTCGTGGAGGGATGGGAGAGCTGCTTTAGATGCAGGACAAGCACCATTCTGCCTGTACACAGAATATCTTAATTGCGTGAAGATTTTGAATACATGTTTTAAAAAATTCTCCTTTCCCAACTTGTTTTTTTCTTACCAGCCAAATGAAATTCAGTAGCTTCATATGTAATGAAATTATTATTATTATTATTATTATTATTATTATTATTATTATTGCTGGGGGAACTCCTGTCATTGTAAGCTACTGCTAACAGGCTACCTGGATGGGCAGTTAGCGGTGTAAATAACTTCTCTATGACATTTCTACTGATAACTGCTTCCGTTTTTTTTTTTTTTCTTCCCTTTGAGAAAGGGATGATCATTAGTGAACTCCCTCTCTGGGTAAGCTACCAAAAAAAAGTCCTGACTTATGGTCGCCTATGACCCTGTCTGTGCTAAGCCCAGAGCATGAGTGCCTTTAGCAAGCTAGCATTTCAGAGAGAGAAGGGATGACAGAATTATTGCCATTAATCACAGCTCGTAAGACAGGCGCTTGCAATAGCAAAGGTCTGTGTGAATTCTCCTCCATGTCATTTTATTTCTTCATGCAGTCTCAGTTTGATATCAAGAAAATCTATTCTTATGGATGAGGAATCATATTCCCAGAAAATGTGTCCGGTTGTTGCAGGCTGCCGAGCCACAGAGGAGCTCACACCTTGGTCGGGATTATGTTAGAAACAGTGAGTGCTGCGGCGGCTTGGGGAACAGGGCGATGTGGGAACATTGCTCCCGTGATTTTCATTTTCCCCTCGCCTCTTGTCCTTTCTAATGCAAACAGAAAACATATTTGCAGATATGGTGTATGAAGAGGCTGTCTGGCACAATAATGATCAGTTGTGTTAGTCTGTCTTAATAGTGCCAGTGTCAGAAATGTGACCTGAGGCCTTAAAAAAATGTCTTTCCTTTAGTTCATGAGCAGTTCTGAGTTGCTGAGTACTTAGAATCTTTAAAACACACTGCCAAACTGATTTGGTTATAGAACTAAGAAATGCGACATTTTATCGTGAAAGATTTCAGGCATACATCAAAGCTGAAAAAATTTTTGATCTTTTTACTCCTAGACTCTGCTACCCTCATATTTTATCGCACTTATATTCCTGCATATCTCTCCATCCATCCATCCATCCATCAGTCTTTTGGCTTTTGACAAAAACGCGTTTCAGGTGCCATTAGCTAGGGTTTAGGATGTGCTAGAAAATCCTTATCTTTTTGGAAGCGGTGTGAAGTCGCTGACCTGAGCCAGCAGATGTACTGTGGACTTTAGTCTTCCGGTTTCTGTTTTTGTGCATGCTTAGGGAAGCTTTTCTGTTTTTCAGAAGGAAGTGTCCTTGAGTTGGTCATTTGAAATGGTTAGCCATCACATGTTTTAAAGTTGCATAAGCACTTTTCTTTAGCCCTCCTCTGATGGTGCATTTTTGTTGAACTCTGCAGTTTCTTTGCAAACTGTCAGTTTCTGGTTGAGATGTCCAAGCTCCTCTCTCCCTTCTTTTCTGTTGCTGCTTTTTGGCCTGCCTTACTTCTGTTCATTACTTAGCTGCTGCACTGGAAGTGGAGGGCAGGAGGGGCTCAACCCCGGTCTGATGAGCTCGGTTAATCAACTCTAGGAAAAAAGAATGAGTGTATGGGAAGTGAAAGCTTTTTAATTTATCTAAAAAATATCATTGGAATTTCCCATACTTCCTTGTTATAATTAGCAGAATTAAAAATGGCTGTACTGTAAAATGAACTCTTTTTAAGTGTTAGTAATATTTAAAACTTTTTTTGATCTATGCCTTTATTTTTATGACTACTTTTCGGGGGTAAAACTTAAAGAATTTAAGTGACATATTCCAGATCAGGAAGATCCAACATGGAAAATTGACTCACAAGTGAAATTTAAGTTTGTGATTCATAATGTGCTTACTTATTGCCAAAGTGACAGCATACTTCCTTTGGGCCCTTAAAAAGAAAACATGCATCTATTAATTAGACTTATTTTTAGATACTTCCTGTTTCTTTGGATAAGATACTTCTATATTTCTTAATTAAATGAAACTCTCACAGGTCTGTTGAATGCTAACTAATAATGCAGGACTTGTCCGATTTCCTTTTGCATTGAAATGATGGTGATTGACTCATTGTTGTAAGTACTTGAGTGACCCCCTCACTAGTGAAAATAGCCATTCTGTTTCTCTGCTTATATGTGTGTTCTCCACATCTTATGTGTATATATATGTGTGTGTGTGTTCTTTTTAAGGAAGGGTAATTCCATGTGTCAGTGTAAGTGGTGTTATCCTGGAACCGAGCACACATAATGCAGTTTATTTCTGCTCTGCAGATCTGACATTTGTGGGAACAAAACTTTGGGAGTGATTGGTCCCTGTTTTGCCTTCCTTTGGTACCCAAGTACCTTCCTGAGGTGTTGTCAATCAGCGTGCCGCTTAGAAAGATGTTCGAGTTGATTTTGCATCCATGTGCGAGTGGGCGACCCCCTTGTGGTCCCTGTGGTTCGGGAGCGGTGTGTCTACTTTGAGATGCCTTACTGGAGTATGCCACACTCTGCTTTAAAGCATTCCTTGTCTCTGCTAGGACAGAAAGTTGCCTCTCTTGGATGTATGCAGTAGATCCAGAAGCAAATCTGGTTTTGCTTTTATTGCAGGCTTGCGTTTAAATGCGGTTCTTGTTTTAAATTAGAGAATAAAATCCTGAAGCATGAAGGGAGATTTCAGACCCCTTCATTCAGTGGCATGGCAAACTTTGAAAACTGCTTTTGCTATTGCACTAGAACCATATTTTTTGGCAAAGGATATATATATCAAATATGTATCTATAAAATGCCAGCCCACACTATGAAATTGGGGTTGTTTCCTGAATGCTCTGTAAGTGTCGTGCAGGGTGTGTGTGCTGTGGGAACACAGTGGCAGGCACTGCTTTAGAAATCTCCTTTTGTTCTGGGGTTACAGAAATGATACATGTGTCATGGACGAAAACCAAGCAACTGTGAATTCTGAAATGGAAATTGCTACTTTGGTTTTTATTTTCTTCAGCATATTGAATATAGAAACCTGAAAGTTATTTAACATGTACACTGCTTATGTTGATGGCTGATTTTGGCTGTGTATCCTCACTTCTGTACTGATTTCTGATAAAGCTTGATGTTATTAAAACAGGCATTTTGTGTTCAATTGAATAAAGCAGTTTCTGAGTCTTGTCTGCAGGCTGCTTGGCTGTGACTTGGAGAGCAAGGACGAGGTGAGGCGCCCTGGTTGGTCCTGACCGCTGCTGATGAATGTGGCTGTCATGAACCCTTCCCTGGAATTCTGAACTCACCGAGTGTTGTCAGCTCTCGGGCTTGCAGTGAAATTGACCCAACCGTGCACTCTTTCCCAGCACTGGAATTAGCCTCTCTTTGTTTTTTTTTTTTTTCAGTATTTACATTCCCTACCAATTCTGCAAAAAAATATGGTCTTAGCAGGACCACAACCACTGCTGAAAATACACACATTTCACAAATCTGATACTCCTGAGTCTTTTGGGTGTTTCATATGTACATATTCTTACAAACATATGCAGTGTCTGTAGGCAACATGTTGCTGAATTGAGGCCCTTTATGTGTTTCTGGCTTATTGTATGCAGTGTGTTATTGGATTTAAATGTTCATTTTAAAAGGTAGATTATATGCCGTAAAGATGACTGTTTTGCTTTGTTTAATTGGCATGCAAGACACATCCACTGAGTGTCGTGGGAAAAATTCTGGAGTCTGCAGAAAAAATATTTCTGAATGAAGAGAATGGATCCCACAGCGTTTGTAAGACCTCAGTACATTGTGTTCAACCATCTCCAAGAGATTTGGAACTTAAAAGAAAACCATGATAATGGGAATAAAAAAAGTCTTAGACCAGTAGAGGTTCCCAGTTTTTCTTTGTCTAGGCATTTCTGAGTTTTATTCGTTGACTAAAAGTCTTTTTACGAGCACACAAGTTTATCCTCTGAAATTGCTTGTATATAAAAGCCTAGCAATTAATTTCCCCCAATCTATTATCAATTGACGTAAGATTGCCAAGAGATCAGAAATAGATCTTTTTATAGGAATTTTAAGGCTTTTAAAAGAAATCTGAGTTGAAGGCTTAATTCAGATTTTATTTGTGGGATAATTATAAGCTGTTGAGAACTATGGTGAAATGTGAATATTAGTTGATAGTGATGTGGTTATGAATTTTTACAACAGATATTTCCCTAAAAACACATGGTGTTTATATGCCTGTATGTGTGCATGATTATACACACATGGTGTGTCTGTGTACACACACACACATACACACAGATGGGGGCGGAGAGAGCGATAAGGTTTGTGTTAGGAAGCAGCCTATGGAAATCCGTTTAATATGATTAAGTACCAGACATTAAATATGTCCAAAGTAAGGGAAATTAATTTGTCAGAGAAAGAAATATTATTCCACCATAGGCCTTCTGTACTTATGCTTGACATTTGGGTGTCTTTTTAAGTATGCCATTAGAACTTCAAATATATCTTGGCTGGAGGCCATCCCTCCAGATGGGAACAAGATGACTTTCATATTAGTCTCAATTTTTAATCTTTGCTGATGCTGGGAGGACTTGCCGTTTTCCATATACGACCAGCTAGCTACTGGCTCAAAGGTATCTACTGCCATCTTGTGGATTCATTAAGTGTTACAGCTAGCAGCTTGTGGTTGCTTACACTAATTTTGAAGCAGAATCTGGCTAGAGACCATCTTGTGGGGATGAGTTTTTGGTAAACAAAACATCATAGAGATGAATTTCTATGTGTAAACA